ACTAAAAAAAAAAATCTGGAACCTTTTAGATGAAAAGCTAAATATCACTTGATAAGCATAGTTCAATATTGTTTATTGTTTGTTCTCTCTTTTGATGTGTAGTGGTGCATGCCTGTAATCCTAGCACTCAGGAAGCCCAGGCATCAGGAGTTCAGAATCTCTTGCCTAATAATGAGTTCAAAGTCAGCCTGGACTACATAAAACTGAGTCTCCTTTAGTCCCAGCACTCACTCAGGAGGCAGAGGCAGGTGGATCTCTGTGAGATTGAGGTCAGCCTGGTCTACATAGGGAATACCAGGCCAGCTGGGGCTACAGGGTGACCCTGTCTCAAAAAGACCAAAAGGAGGGGCTGGAGAAATGGCTCAGCTGTTAAGAGCACTAGCTGCTCTTGCAGAGGAACCAGGTTTGTTTCCCAGCACCCACATGGCAGCTAATATCTATCTGTAACTCCAGTTCCAGGGGCATACAACACCCTTTTCTGACCTCCGTGGGCATCGCATAACACGGTGTACTTACATGCTGGCAATACACTCATACACATAAAATAAAAATAATGAATTTTTTCCAAAAAAAGAAAAAACAGTTGGGCATGGTGGCACTCACCTTTAATCCCAGAACTCTGGAGGCAGAGGCAGGCAGATCTATGTGAGTTCAAGGCCAGCCTGCTCTACATAGTGAGTTCCAGGTCAGTTGGGGCTATAGGGAGACCCTGTCTCAAAAAGACAAATAAATAACCAGAAAATACACATATAAATTTATACATACTTCATTGTGTTTATTTTCATAATTTGTTTTCCCAAACTAGAGTATGTAGTGATCTTTTCTGTTTCAGTCTATAACACATTCTAAATATCTTGGGATAATGGTCAGCACTAAAAGACATTCAGTAAATAACTTGAACTAGGGAATTTCTCAGTTGCCTCATGTTTGTTATATATAGCATTACTATTTACAAAGTACTTTGACTTATTCATTTTCTTCTTCATTTGTTTTTTTCCTGTTTTGCTTTTGTTTTTGTTTTTTGAGACAGGGTCTCTCACTCACCTGGAACTCCCCAAACAGACTGGCCTGGTCCATGAGTCCCAGAGCTAGGATTACAAGCATGAGTCACTATATCTGTTTGTTTTGGGTTTTATTTGAATTTTTTTTTCTTTTGGTCTTTTTGAGACAGAGTCTCCCTATAGCCCCAGCTGGCCTGGAACTTGCTATGTAGATCAGACTGGCCTTGAACTCATAGACTGCCGCTGCCTCCTGAGTGCTGGGATTAAAGGCAGGCACAACCATGCCCAGCTTATTTATTTTTTAACATGGGTTCTGGATATCCTTATGCATGCAAGGCAAGCACTTTACCAAATGGGCTATCTCCCCAACCCCTTGTTTTGTTTTTTGAGTTAGTCTCCATAATAAAGCCCAGGCTAGCTTAAACTAGAAATAATGTTCCTGCCTCAGTCTCCAAAATGCTAGAATCATCCAGCCTCATTTCACAATTTTTTGGGGTAAGGTCTCACTCTGTAGCCCCAGGTAGGCTGGAACTGTGTAGTCCAGGCTGGCCTTAAACTCTCAAGTGCTGGGATTATAGGTATGCACCAACATGCCCAGCTTAGATTCGTTCTTCTAAAGCCAGAGGAGGAAAAGTATAATTCACTAAGGAATGAGAAATCCAGCACTTGAGAGGCTGAGGTGGGAGAATTCTAAGCTTGAAGTCAGCCTGGGTGAGACCTTGTCCTAAACACACACACAAATACATATTATAATATACATATAATATACCCCTAAATATGACCTGACCTCTGAGGCTCTAAGCAGTTTGAATAAATTTGCATTCTTTTAAATATTCAACAACAATCTGGGCATTGTGGTATATGCCTTTCGTCCCTGGAGGCAGGGGCAGGCACATCTCTGTGAGACTGAGGCCAGCCTGGTCGCCACAGTGATGTCTAAGCCAGCTGGGGCTATAGGGAGACCCTGTCTCAAAAACAAACAATAATTAGATGATAGATAGATAGTTAAAATATTCAATAACAATGTTTAGCATTAGAGAGAATATTTACAGAAAACAAAAGAATATTCAGAATCCTGAATAATTCTGTAATCTGAAGTCTCTAGTTTCAGAGTTTGGAACTGAAAGTAAAAATCACCTCTTAGGCCTTTTACCTAATAACCGTTAAATGGAAAGCATGCTAATTTTCAATATTTGGCTCAGTAGCACTCAGGGTATACCTTGTTAAGTTCTTCTATTCTTCTGATTAGGTAGGGGTTGCTGGAGGAATTCTCAAAGTAGACATAATCTGTAATCAAAAAAAGTTACAGAACTTAAATCTTTTCACAAAATGTTCACATTTGGCAACTCATGACTTTCTTTTGAGACAGGGTCTTTCTGTGTAGCACTGGCTGGCCTGGACCTGGCTATGTAGACCAGGCTGGCTTCCAGCTTACAGACCTTTGCCAGCCTCTGCCTCTCAAGTGCTGGGATTAAAGGTGTGCCCTACCACACCCAGCTACAACTTTCTATATTAGGCAATTCATGTTAGTAGGCAGGTAATCTATTCTCCTTTAATGTAACCTTCACCTGATATACCATATGCCTATTAGACCTTTTCCTAGTACTTCCATTCTCATAGGTAGCCCAGGCTGACCTTGATTGAACTCCTGATCCTCCTGCCTCAGCCTCCCAAATCCTGGGATTACAGGCATATTACCACTAAGCCTTGCTTAAATTTCTTTTTCTTTTGTTTTTAAGCAGTTTCCAGTAGCTGAGGCTGGCAAGAACTGGCTATATAGCTGAAGCTGGCCTTCAACTCCTGATTCTCCAACCCCCACCTCCGAAAGGCTGGGTTTACAGGCATGTGTCACCATGCCCAGCCTTCAATTATTTCTTTAATAAACAAAAAGAAACAAAGCCTCACTTGGTATAATCCAGCATTGGAGGAAGGACAGAGGCAAGATAAAACAGCAGAGGCCAGCCTGTACTATATAGTGAGACCTTGTCTCAAAAAAACAAAACCAGACACCTCATCACTGAGTTGTCAAGACACACTAAAGGCATCCTTCCCAGTGCAGCATCCACATCCTTTCCCTCCAAGGTGATCAGCCTGAAGTACATGTCTTACATAAAATTGTTGCCCTAAGACAAATTTAGAGCAAGGAGAAAGGCTTAAACCAATTTCCATTTCAATCATCAACTTAAAAAGAGAAAGTCGTGCAAAACAGGTACCAGGAAGTCTGGTAACAAACTTTTCCAAAGCTCTACCTGGGAAGATTAGGAATCAAAGGGTAGGGCTAGGGCCACTTGCTGACAGGCAGAGTCCTCTGGGGAGGTTGTGGGAGTCTTTTCACCCTTCTGATATTTAATCTAACTCCACTCAGGTTCTTCTTATAAAGAAATCATTGCAAATTTTCAACAAAATGGACAGAATTTTTTTTAAGTGTGGTTGTTCCTCCACAGACTCGCTGGAAACTTCCCCTGTGTGTTTATCTGAGGCTGGACTTGCATAGTCACTGTCTACCTTAGTGGCACTCTCCCGTCACTCTGCTGCTAAGTGGCCGCATTTAGCCAGGCCATTCCCCACCACCATCCATCAGGAGCTGAGCTAATGAGCAGAGAAGGAAGAGCAAGTCTCACACACAAACACGCCACTTGTCTGAATTATTATTTTACCAGGAAAGAGGGAGGGAGGGCGTCGTGAGCAGGGAAAGTTTGTTTGACCTTATTTCTCTCTTCTGCAGAAGGCTGGGAAGATAGACAGCAGAGCCACCGTCCAGGCTGGGCTCAACTCCCCACCAGGGGCTGCGGTTCCCTGGCCCCCAGCACAGCCCCACTATTAGTGGGCTGACCCGAGAACCCCCGAAGCAAAGGGGGTGAAGCAGCGAAGGTGCAGGGCCCTAGCTCTGCAAACAGGCCTATCCAGCTGTGCCCCTAGCCGGGCCACCATCACCCCCGGTCCACACTACCACCGAAGCGAGGAGGGGGGATGTCCCCAACCCCCCCAGTACCTACAAGTCATGCGAGGCCAAGGCCACTCGGCGGGGGGGTGGGGGGGTTGCAGGGGGTTGCGTGGAGGGGGTGTCGGCTGTGTGTCCCCGAGTCCAGGCCCGACCGTGGGACGCCGGGCAGGGCAGTGGGGGAGGGGAGTGGGGGTGGGGAGCCCCCT